TGCCCCGGCACACACGGTGTTGCCTCTCCCGCCGTCGGGACTCTCTTGCCGCCCCCTGCTTGACACGCTTCAGCAACCACCCCGTCACCCCCCCCCACCACGGCCCCCACCCCCACCCCCCACCCCCACCGCTGCCCCCCGGCCGCTGCCCCCCCCCCGCCGCTGCCCGCCCACCCGCCCCCCCCCGCCACTGCCCCCCCGCCGCTGCCCCCCCGCCGCTGCCCCCCCGCCGCTGCCCCCCCGCCGCTGCCCCCCCGCCCGTGAGCGGCCAGTGGGCCGTGTCTCGGACGTGGCGTGGATGTGTCGTGGACGTGTCCCGGACGTGCCCCCCGCCCGTGAGGGGCCAGTGGGCCGCGTGCCTTCGAGCTCCGCCGCTAAGCCCCGCCTTGCTCCGCCGTGCCTTGCCGCAGGCCTCGAGCGCAGCACGGTGCGTGAGAAGCTCGAGCTCGCCAGCGGGGCCGACGTTGCGGCGGCTGCGGCGGGCGCGAACGGTGTTGCCTGCGACGAGCAGCCGACGCCTGCCTCGGAGGGTGCGGACGGTGCGGCAGCGGCGGCAGCGGCGGCGGGGTCGGCGGCGGCGGCGGCGGCCTCGGCGACGGGCGTTCAGGGGGTAGGGGTCGCCGCGCCGGTTTGTCCCGGCGTGCCGGCATGTGCGGGGCCTGAGGCTGTGGCTGTGGAGGGTGCGGTTGGCAGGGCGAACGGCGTTCGGGTGCACGGTGCGACTGGCTCGGGAGATATGGGGAGATCTGCGGGAGATCTGGGGAGATCTGGGGCGACCGGCTCGGGGTGGCGGCCGAGCGCGCCAGAGAGCGAGTCGGTTGTTGCGTTGCGCGGGCAGCGGCTGCACGGCTGCGAGCTGATCCAGCAGCTCGGGCTGATGCTGGCGCTGCCGCAGACGGCGGTGGCAAGTGCGGCGGTGGTCTTTCAGCGCTTCGTTGCGAGCTCGGCGATGGGGCGGTTCGAGGTGCGGCAGGCGGCGGTGGCGGCCGCGTCCCTCGTCGCGACGGACGGCGGCGGCGAGGGTGACAGCAAGGGCGGGGGGGGCGGGGCAGCTGGCGGCGGCGGGAACGGCGCGGGCGGCGGGGGCGTCCGTCGGCGGAGGAGCGACGTGCTCAGCTGCTACTGCCACCTCGCCGGCCGACGGGTGCGAGCTGATGGCCCGAGATCAACCGAGATCAGCCGAGATCAGCCGAGATCAGCCGAGATCACCACCGAGGTTGTGGTCGCGCTCGCCCCCGCACACCGCGCCGTGCCCCGCCCGCCACCGTGGTCCGCCCCGACCGCATAGCACGCTGGCGTGCGGCACGCCTCCCCACAGGCCGCCGCACGGCACGCGAGGCCCGGCCACCCGTACCCACGCTCGCCGCACAGCACCGCCCATGGCCCATTGCGCACAGGCCCGGACCCACACCTCCGCCGCAGGCGCACCTCGACACTTCCTCCGAGGAGTACCGCCGGCTGAGTCGCTCCCTCGCTGAGTGCGAGCGGGCGGTGCGGGCGGAGGTTGGAGCCGCGGGCGGGCTGCTGCCGCAGAGCGGCGAGGCGGGGCGGGCGTGGAGAGCGCGCGGGCAGGTCTTGGAGGCGGGCGATCTGTACGCGATCCTCTTCCAGTACCTCTGGCTTGCGTTCAAGGCCCCAGTGGCGCCCGCGCTGGGGGTGGCCGTCGGGCGCCGCGCGTACAGTTTCGTCAACGACAGCCTCCGCACAGCCACCTGCGTCGACTTCGGCCCCGAGGCTCTTTGCTGCGCCGCCATCTGGTGGGGGGCGAGGGAGGGAGCGGTGCCGCCGACCGCCGCGCTGACGCGCCGCCCCGCGAGAGTGCGCGAGATCAGCCGAGCTCGCGCGAGGCTGTAGGTCAAGATGCCGCCGAACTGGCTCGACGTGTTCGGTGTCGCGCAAGGGAGGGTGCGCCGCGCGCGCCGACGACATGCCGACGACACGTCCGGGACATGTCCCGTAGGCGTGCGTGAGGAGGAGGTGCGCGCCGTCGTCGCGTCGGTTGCGCCGTTGCACGCGCCGTCGACCTCCGCCGCCGCACGCCGCGCGTGCGACGTCTCGTGCAGCGGCTCGGCGGCGAACTCGCTGTGGGGGTCGCCAGCGTGTGGGGTTCCGCCGGCGACGTCCCCGGACGGGCGGGCGAGCGGGCGCGACGGCGCGGGGGGGGGCGGCAAGCGGCGGCGGAGCGGCGGCAGCCGCGGCGCGTCGCCAGAGAGATCGCGCGGCCGAGCGGCGGAGGGGCGGGACGGGCGCGAGGGGTGGGAGGGCCGCGATCGACCAGACGACCGGTCGCCGGGCAGAGAGCGCCGCCGCCGCCGCCGCTTCGAGGGCAGCCGCGACGCGGACAGGGGCGGGGAGGGAGGCAGGGGCGGCGAGGGCGGCAGGGGCCGCGAGGCGGCCAGGTCAGGCCGATCCCCTCGCCGGCACCGTTCCCCGCGGCGCGGCGGCTCTGCTCGGCGCGGTGACAGCCTTCGGCGCGGTGACAGCCCGCGGCGCGGAGGTGGCAGCCCTCGGCGGCATCGGCGTGAGGACGGGTCCCCTCGCCGCGGCCGCTCCCCGAGGAGCCGCGACCGAGAGCGAGACCGAGAGCGAGACCGCGAGCGAGACCGCGAGCGCGATGCAGAGCGGCAGCGGGGCCGCGATCGCGGCAGAGAGCGGAGTCGCGGCCGCGACGGGAGGAGGGAGGAGAGGAGGGAGGAGCGGAGGGTCCCCTCCCCCCCTCGCGGCAGGGAAGAGGGCCAGCGGCGCGAAGAGCGGTGACACGACCCAATGGCGGGGGCCCAGGGAGAGGCCGCCTGGGCCGCTGGGGGGCGCGGGGCGGGTGGTGACTTAGGTGTCAAGCGCGGTGTGGTCCTAATTCTGAGTAGCCGCCAGAGTTGTGCCGGGCGCGCCGCGAGCTCAAAAAAAACAACTAAACGCACGTGCACGTTGAAGATGACGGCAGGGGTGAAAACTAGGAGCGCTCGTTGCGGCTTCTCCCCATGTTCGCCAGTCTTTGTGCAGTCCGGCGTCATCGCGCGACGGCCCTAAAACTTGCGGCCGCGACGGTGGCTGTCTTCTTCCGGTGTCGCAGCAGCAGCCGCCGCGCGAACCGCCCGAGCGCGACGAGTCTCCTCCCCGCCGCCGCCACCGGCCGGCCAACCCTCAGGACAGGGTCCGAGGCGTCGAGCAAGACGAGCAGGTTGAGGTAGTCGGTCGCCACGAGTGCGGCGAGCGCGGCAGCGCATTCCGCCGGGTGCCTGCGCACAAAGCCGACGGCGCGCGATGCGGCAGCGGCTCCGGCGGTAGTTAGCTGCTTGAGCGGCGGCGGCGGCGGCGGCGGAGGAGGAGGCGGCGGCGGCGACGCGAGCATCCACGCATAAGCGCCGCCGAGCACGAGCAGCACGGCGGCCAGCAGCCTGGGGCCTCTCGCCGGGCGCGGAGGCGGGTCGCCTGGGTCTCTTTTGACTGGCGTGTGCACAACTCGCTGCTGCAGGAAGCGAAACGAGAAGAGCGCGATGCCCAGGATGCAGCCGCGCACCGCGTCCTTCTGGATCGACCACGCAGCTTCGGAGAGCAGGCGGAGGCCGTGCGAGAGGAGGTCGGATAGGTAGTCGCGCTCCATAGGCGCCACGCCGCACGATGGAAGCTGCCACGACAAAAAAGAAAATCCATTCCGACTAACGCAGGTACACCACGGAAGCCGCCTAAGCGCTGCCTAGTGTCGTGCGAAAAAAAGAATTTTAGAAATATCACATAGTGCCAGTGCGCGCCAGTCCCGTGCCTAGTGTCGGGCGAAAAAAAAGAATTTAGGCGGGGGCATACAACAAAAGAATTGCCAGAAAACGAGAATCCCACTTCCCGTCAACCATAAACCCGAATGCATGCGGTGCACGCTTGGCGGCACATCGGGCATTCGGCCTTCCTTGCCAGCAGAGCATCCGCGCAATCGCCGCACACGCAACGATGCCCGCATGGCACAAAGGTGTGGGTCGGGCTGGCGTTCAAGCAAACTGTACACTGGCCTCCACCTCTGTCGCCGCCCCCGCCGTCTCCACCTCCGTCGCCGCCCCTGGTCTCACCATCATCGGCATTCCTGCCCGCTCGCCTCCGCCGCGCGGCCCTCGCCTGCCGGGCCCTGACCCGCCTGGGTGCCGCGACCACTCGAGCTCGACACCACGTCCAACAAGCAAAGCCCAAGCCCGAGGCCAGGAGAAATACCGGCGCCGCCCACCAGCGAGACCAAGCAGGGCGAGCAGGGCGAGCCACGGGCAGATACCGCGCACCAAAGCCGGTGAAATGGCGCGAGGCCTCCCACAGCGGCATTTGTTCGTCTGCTTGGGCAGGCGTGCTGCTGCCTCCCATGCTCTCCATCCACACCGTGTCTGCGTCGGCGTCTAATGGCACCTCTGCGAGGTCAGCGATGCTCAGCTGCAGCGCTGGCTGGCGCGCATTAGCCTCGGGGCCAGCGCGGCCTTCCTGCCATGCGATTTGCTCATCTGCCCTCGCTTGCCATCGTTTCCCGCTCTTGGACTCCGGGTCTGAGCCCATCGGTAGGCAAGCAAAGCCGGCGGCTGACTGCCAACGGCCCGTCGACCGCATCCAAGGGTTCTGCACGTCTTCGGCGAACGGGCTAGCGTCTCGGTTATACATCCACGCCTTCCTGGACTCCATCTCCGTTTCGGCTCTGAGCTCGTCCGGCGTGGTCATGAACCAAGTTGCACTCAGGTCATGGTGCAGGAGCACGACCTTTTTAGGCTGCCCTTCGCGCGTGTAATAGGACCCTGGTCCTACGGCTCTGTCCCACGAAACGCGTCGGAAGGCAACCAGTGTATCCAGCAGCGACTCGTCGCTTGGTTTTAGCCTCACGAATGAGAAAATCGCACGCCGGCGCAGCTCTGGGCTCGTCAACCCGCAGAGTAGCAAGTCGCTGCCGACATACGAAGCGGCACGCAAGCTCATCGACAGAACCGGGATCCATCGCTTTTGGGAGTCCAGCCATCGCTTCCAGGGCGCGTTCACTTCCAAGGGGTCAAGCGCGCTGTCGTACGCCTTGAGGTAGCAATGGCTGCTGTTGCCCAGCCGATCGTAGTCGCCAACGCACCACGCGCCGTCGTACCCAAAGCTGAGGCCGATCCCTGCTGGGTGAATATGCTTCGCTACAACGGGCCGCAAGTTGTACGCAGGCCGGCCGTGGATGGTGAGACCCGGTCGAATCGATAGCACCCCGACAAGGATAAGAGGGATTGCCACCGACCCTGCATACTCGTCTGGATTTGACACATTGAAGCGGACCGCGCGCGAGGAGTCGGGCGCCGAGAGTTGCAAGTCGGGCAGACGCTCGAGCGCGAGTCGAGCTTCATTGCCGTCTGGCAACAGCTGGAGATCCGGCGCCTCTACAGAGTCAAGACTGCCGAGCGAAGGGGGTGCAGTCATCTGTGCTCCCTCGGGGAGCCAGCGCGCAAAGGGAGCCAGCGATACGCCGGCTGGCACGAACAAAGCCTTGCGCGCTGCGTTCCACTTTGCGCCGTGTGCCTTGGCGGCATTCATCTCCGAGGGGGGGCAGTCGAGATAGGTTAGCGGGCTGGCATCGCCTCCGCTTCCGCCGCCACCGCCGCCGCCGCCGCCGCCGTCGCCGCTATCGCCGCTATCGCCACCAGCGAGAGGGTCAGACAGCCTCCAAGACCCACGGCCAACAAGTTCGGGCCGGAGCTCGACCGAGGCCGCAAAGGCATGCCCGCCAGGAAGCCCAAGCCATTCGTAATCGCCGATGTACCAGTGCCCAGTGCGCGAGTACCACAGCCCAACGTCTGAGTCGACCTCCGAACGGTAGGTTGGCCTGCCATTGAGAAGGACGCCGCGCCACAAGGTGTACTTTCCGATGTAATTCAGGACGCGCGAGCCTGGCGTGGTTCCGACGAAATAGAGAACGGGCTCGGCGCGCGGATCGATGTGACCGCGCGTAAGGTCGGCGCGCTTCGAATACTCGCTGAGTCCGTGGATGCTGACCTTGCCGTGTCGCCTGACCTCGCCCGCCGCATCCCACCCCTGCTCCTCCAACTTTTTGGAGACAGCTTCGAAGTCGTCTGCATCAGGCAGCTTGCGCAGGAGGCCCAGCAGGAGGCCTAGCAGCAGCACGCAGCCGGCGGAGGCAAGAGCGGTGGACCTAAGAGCCATGTGCATGCCCGGCTTCCGCTATCAGCGTGTATGCCCGCACGACACCGGCCTGGGTTCTTAGGGGGTAGGGTAGGTGCGCACTACGTACAGCTGCCTCATGGTATGATCCAATTCCTAGATTCCGGCCGCAGGGTGTCGGTCATTAGTGCTGTGGATGGATGCGCGCTGCCGCGACTCACGGTCCTGTCCCCTACACACGAGGAGCCGAACCATCGCCCTCAAGTTGCGCTTTGCTGAGCTGCCGTGCAGGCTGGATCAGAGAGCTTCGCTCCTCCACGCGTATGCCGTGGCACCCGCCCGAGGGCCACGGCTGGGCGGTCGTGTACCCGCTGCTGCGAGACGTCTTCCTCTCGCTCGGGCTCCTCTCTCTCGGCTCGTGCGCTGCGGTAGTGCTCTTCTACCGCGCTCTGCCGCAGGTGCGCCGCACGCCAGGATGGCTCGTGCAGCGGGCCACCCTCTGCGAGGCCCTCGTGTCTGCCTGCTTTGTCGCGCTCTTCTTTTTCGGCGCGCCGCACGCCTCTCTTCCCAGCGCACAGCTCACCACAGCACACCCACACACCACTGGGGTGACCTAAAACTGTGTTTTTGGATCGGGTTGCCCAGTGATGCAGCCGGCGACACAGTGTGCCTCGAGTCGGCTCCCGAGCCATTCGTGCGCAGCGTGTGTGTGCGCGTGGGCCCGCCCTCCGCGACGTGTGTGTAAGACCGATTGACTGACTGATCGCGTTGCCCAGGCGAGCCCGGCCCCAGGCCCGGCCACAATGAGGCGTCGGGCCTCCGGTGTCCTCCTCCTCCTCGGATGATGAGGATGATTCTGATGCGTGTGGTTCTGGTTCTTACAGGCGTCGGGCCTGTGGCCTCTCCTCCTCACTCTCTCCGTCTTTGAGACGGCGGCGGTCGGCTGGCGGCTGCTGATCTACGTACACTCCCTCACCATCTGCCGCGACCCGTACATGGTTAGCAATGCATGGATGAATGGCTTCGTGCTAGGTGGATTGCCTCACCATCTACCGCAACCCGTTCGCGCCCCACCGCCACCGGGTGCTCTATGTCTACGCGCTGCTCGTCCTATTCACAGTGCTCTATGTCTACCCGCTTCGAATAGGTGCTCTATGTCTACCCGCTGCTCGTCCTGCTCTTTGCGGCGGGCGTGTCTGCGGGCGCCTTCTTCTACGCCACGCGGGCCGAGTACGGCAAGCACAACCTGCAGGCGGGAGATGTGGGGAGATGTGGGGAGATGTGGGGAGATATGGGCCGAGAGTACCAAGCACAACCTGCAGGCGGGAGATGTGGGGAGATATGGGGAGATGTGGGGAGATATGGGCCGAGAGTACGGCAAGCACAACCTGCAGGCGGCCTGCGCCGCCTGCGTGGGTGAATGATCAGTCCGGTCAGATTGGGATCGGCCACATGCAGGCGGCACTCCTCTTCCTGGGCATCACGTGTGTCGTGGTGCCATTTGGCGCCTTCGTCGGCATCGGCCTCTCCCTCTACCTCGGCGAGTGCCGCCCGCTGCCTCATCTCGCCGTGAAGGGCGCCTTCTTCACACACCGCGCCGCTGTGAACAGGCGTGCAGCTGCTCCTCTCGTCGGCAATCGCGAGGGAGGGAGGAGCGCCGCCGTCAATCACTTTCCTCGCGCGGCAGCGCGTGATGCGGCAGCCGCATAGCCGAGAGGCAGCGAGATCTAGCCGAGAGGCAGCGAGATCTAGCCGAGAGGCAGCGAGATCTAGCCGAGAGTGGCAACGCGTGATGCGGCAGCGCGCCTCTGGCTCTACACGCCGCTCTCGACAACGCCGCCGCTTTCAAGACGACCGCTGTGAACAGACTGCTGTGAACAGGCACGCGTCGGCGTACATGCTGCTGCATGGCACGCAGCTCTGCGCCGCCCTCGCCCTCCTCCTCTCCCTCCTCCTCGCCCCGTCGCTGCATGTGCCGTTGCAGGCTGCCATCTCTCCCCATCTCTCCCCATCTCTCCCCATCTCCTCCCCATCTCTCCCCATCTCTCCCCATCTCTCCCCATCCCTCCCCATCTCTCCCCATCTCTCCCCATCTCTCCCCATCTCTCCCCATCTCTCCCCATCTCTCCCCATCTCTCCCCATACCTGCATGTGCATGTGCATGTGCATGTGCACGTGCATGTGCATGTGCATGTGCATGTGCATGTGCATGTGCATGTGCATCTGCCGCTGCAGGCTGCGGGAAGATGCCGCCGGCCGCGGAAGGCGTCGGTTGACTCCTGGGTTCACCTTTGGCTGACTGCCGCTGCAGGCCAGCACCGCGCTGCGAGACGCAAGCCTAGGGGGAGGCGGCGGAGGCGGAGGAGGAGGCGGAGGGGGCGGAGGTGGAGGCGGGGGTGGAGGCGAGGGTGGCGTCTATGGAGGCGGCTGGGGCGGCGGGGGCGGCGGAGGCGGCGGGGGCGGAGGCGGCGGCGGAGGCGGCGTTGACGGCGTTGACGGCGTTGGCGGCGTTGGCGGCGTTGGCGAGTCCTTTACTCTCGCGCCTCTTCCGAGTGGTTTGTGGCGTCTGCTGGCGCTGCTGATTGCGGCACGGCCGGCCCTGTCCGCGCTCGGCTGGTTCGTGGTCAACGTCGCCGTCTCCTCTTTCTTGACCGGGGCAGCGCTGACTGACTGGTTCTCAATGCTAGGTTCGTCATCAACGACGCTGTCTACCTCGCGTTCGGCGTTTGCTCCTGCACAAAGCTCCGCGCCGCCGACCGCCGCGCCGCCCTCCGCTCTGGTTTCGTGCGTGGGGGCGGTGCAGAGGGGGAGGAGGGGCGGGGGGAGGGGCGGGGGGAGGGGCGGGGGGAGGGGGCAGAGGGGGAGGAGGGGCGGGGGGAGGGGCGGGGGGAGGGGCGGGGGGGGGGGCAGGAGGGGTGGGGAGAGGGGCGGGAGGGGTGGGGGGAGGGTGCGTCGTCGGCGTCGTCGCGCCGGCAAGGGCAGGGCGGGAGGCTAAGGGAGGGCGGGAGGCTAAGGGAGGGCGGGAGGGTACCGGGGCCGCGGTCCGAGATGCTGCAGGGCATCGTCGAGGCGCGGCGTCGAGGAGGGAGGCGCGAGTCGAGCCGTGACGGGCGTGTCTTCACGGCTGCAGCTGTGGACAGGTCGGCTTCAAGGAGGTCCCATATCTCCCCACATCTCCCCACATCTCCCCACATCTCCCCACAGGTCGGCTTCAAGGAGGAGCTCCGCTTCGAGCTGCTGTATGACGTCGCTGCAGGGAGCGGCGATCTCGCGCGCACGGGCTCCGCCGGTCTGTGAAATGACAGACTCGTTCGCGACGTAGGATCGGCGAACTCGCGCAGCACGAGCTGCGCTTGGCTGTGCTCGGCGGCTACTTCCTCCCGCAGCCCTCGCGGCGCGTCTATGAAGGAGTCGACGAGTCCGTTACTGACCCACAGGCGACTACCTACTCTCGCAGCCTTCGCGGCGAGTCTCTCTTGACCTCGGAGAGCTGCGCAGTCAGAGCCGGCCTCCCTCCGCCGCCACAGCCGACGCTGACGGCCTCAAGGACACAGAATTAAAGTCAACCAGTCCTCCTACTGAGTTGTAGGTCCTCCACAGCCGACATTGTCGACCTCAATAGCACATCACTAACACTTCATAATCCACACTTCACTATAGGTCCTCCGCCGCCACAGTCGACTTTGGTGACCTCGGCCTCCGGGGCGGCATCGCCCGCTCGCTTTTCGCGCCCGTCGCCCCGCCCCAGCGCCGCGCCTCGCCCCGCCCCTCCTCCGCCTTTCCCGGCGCGAGCGAGCGCCTCCTACCCCGAGGCGAGCCGTCCTCCTCCTCCTCCTCCTCCTCCTCTGCAGCAGCGGCAGCGGCGGCGGCGGCGGCGGCAGCGGCAGCAGCAGCAGCAGTCGCTTTCGCGCGCCTTCCGCCGTCTCGCCACGCCACCGAGCCGCTCGCCAGCCCGCCCCTCTCCGCCTCCTCGCCCCCCCTCGGCACCGCGCCGCTCGTAGCGCCTCCGCCTCCTCCCGCCCCCCCTGCGATGGCCGACTTGCGAGCTCTGTTCAGCTACTCCCGCGTCTCCTCGTCCGACGGGTCCGCCGCCGCCACCTGCCTCCCCGCCGCCCCTCCCGCACCGGCCCCGCCGTGCCGCGCCGCCACCGCGCCAGCCAGCCACGCCGGTCTAACTCACGCCTGCTGCGGACCACTTGCGACCCGGCTGGATCGGTTCACTCCGCCCGCCGCGTCGCCGCCGCCGCCCGGACCGGTCGCGGCTTCGGCCAACGGCGATCCAGGCCACACTGCTTCGCTCCACGCTGCCTCGCTCCACGCTGCCTCGCTCCACGCTGCCTCGCTCCACCCTGCTTCACCGCACGCTCTCCGCGCCGCGCCGCGCCGCTCGCTGCCCTCGACCCCGCCTTCCCGCTCCGCCGCCCTCCGCGCCGCGCCCCACTCCGCGCCCCGCCCCGCCCCTGCCGCCGCGCTGCCACCGGCCGCGAGGAGCAAGCTGAGGCACGCGCGCTCGCGCTCTGTGGGCGTCTCCCCTTTCTCGGCCCGCGGCGGCGCCCCCTCCGCCGGCGCCGCCGAGGCCGGCAGCGCTGCGGCGCGCCCTCCGCCGCCGTCGCCGCGGGACGCGCTCTCGCCGCTCTCGCCGCCGCCCTCGCAGCCGCTCTCGCGCTCGCACTCGGATGGGCAGCGAGATACGCCGAGATACCGCCGAGATGCGACGAGATCCGCCGAAATACGCCCCCCCACCCCCCCACCCCCCACCCCCCACCCCCCCACCCCCATTTGCCCTCCCTGCCGGCCTCCTCCCTCTCCTCGATCGCCACGCCGCTGAACACTCGCCGCCCTTTTTCCCACAGCCCCCCCCCCCCCCACCCCCCCCCCACCCCCCTTCTGCCCTGTCGCTGAGTCATCACGAGTGAAGGACCGAAGGACTGGTCCTCTAGGCAGCTCCCCCTCCCCGGCCTGCGACCGGCCGGCGGCGGCTCGCACCACGCCCACTCCAAGGCGACACTACGAGCTCGACCGATTCCGCCGCCATATCTCCCCCTATCTCCTCATATCTCCCCCTATCTCCCCCTATCTCCCCCTATCTCCAAGGCGACACACTACGAGCTCGACCGCTTCCGCTGCATCCGCGCTGCGTTCGGCGTCTCCGCCGCCACGTACGCGCACGCGTTCCCGGACGACCTGTCCACGCTCGGCTCGCACTGGCGCCGCCGGCTGAAGGAGTCGCTCTCCGAGGTGTGAAGAGCGTCTCTTCCACAGGGGGGCGGGCTGTGGACAGGCGCCGCCGGCTGAAGGAGCCGCTCTCCGAGGTGTGAAGAGCGTCTCTTCCACAGGGGGGCGGGCTGTGGACAGGCGCCGCCGGCTGAAGGAGTCGCTCTCCGAGGTGTGAAGAGCGTCTCTTCCACAGGGGGGCGGGCTGTGGACAGGCGCCGCCGGCTGAAGGAGTCGCTCTCCGAGGTGTGAAGAGCGTCTCTTCCACAGGGGGGCGGGCTGTGGACAGGCGCCGCCGGCTGAAGGAGTCGCTCTCCGAGGTGTGAAGAGCGTCTCTTCCACAGGGGGGCGGGCTGTGGACAGGCGCCGCCGGCTGAAGGAGTCGCTCTCCGAGGTGTGAAGAGCGTCTCTTCCACAGGGGGGCGGGCTGTGGACAGGCGCCGCCGGCTGAAGGAGTCGCTCTCCGAGGGCGCTTCGGGCGCCCTCTTCCGGCGCGTGCGGCAGAGGTGTGAAGAGCCTCCCCCTCACGGGGCGAAGGCTGGCGACAGGCGCCTTCTTCTACCGCGTGCTGCAGCAGCCGCGCGGCGGGCGGGGCGGCGTCGCGCCGCTCGCCTCGCAGTACATCGTCAAGCAGATCAGCCGCGCCGAGAAGCAGGAGAGGATTGCTGCTACCATAGGACACACCTGGAGACTCGTCCCACACCCGCTGGACACCCCGCTGTCCCACATCTCCCCACATCTCCCCATATCTCCCCACATCTCCCCACATCTCCCCATATCTCCCCATATCTCCCCATATCTCCCCACATCTCCCCACATCTCCCCACATCTCCCCACATCTCCCCACATCTCCCCATATCTCCCCATATCTCCCCATATCTCCCCACATCTCCCCACATCTCCCCATATCTCCCCACATCTCCCCACATCTCCCCACATCTCCCCATATCTCCCCACATCTCCCCATATCTCCCCATATCTGGCCACGCATGAGCGCCGGTCCCGCGCGCACACCGCCAGGTTCTGATGGCGATGCTACCCGCGTACGAGTCGCACGTCGCGTCGAGAGGAGGCCTCCACACGCGAGTAAGTAGTCCAGGACTCTCGGTTCACTCATTCATTGAGTCGAGCCGCACGCCGCCGGAAGGCCGCTCCCTGATCGCCTACTTCGGCTGCCACTCCCTACGTATGCCGTGGCGCTACTCGGGCAAGGCGCTACACCTCCCCACACCTCCCCACACCTCCCCGCACCTCCCCACACCTCCCCACACCTCCCCACACCTCCCCACACCTCCCCACACCTCCCCACACCTCCCCACACCTCCCCACACCTCCCCACACCTCCCCACACCTCCCCACGCCTCCCCACACCTCCCCACACCTCCCCACACCTCCCCACGCCTCCCCACACCTCCCCACACCTCCCCACACCTCTCGGCCAACAGGTGTACTTTGTCGTGATGCGCAACTTTGTGCCCGTCCAGCCGTGGCGCGCCTCTGGCCTCACGGGCTGCGCCGCCGCCGACCTGCAGCGTCTGTTCATAGCCGCAGCTGTGAACAGGCTCACCTTCGATCTCAAGGGCGCCACCGCCAACCGGCGCGCACTTACCGCGCGCGCGCTGCACCAGATCCATGCTCAGGTCTACGCACCACCTCGGCCGCACCTCGGCCGCACCTCGGCCGCACCTCGGCCGCACCTCGGCTGCCCCTCGGCTGCCCCTCGGCCGCACCTCGGCTGCCCCTCGGCTGCCCCTCGGCTGCCCCTCGGCTGCCCCTCGGCTGCCCCTCGGCTGCCCCTCGGCTGCCCCTCGGCTGCCCCTAGGCTGCCCCTCGGCTGCCCCTCGGCCACACCTCGGCCGCACCTCGGCTGCCCCTCGGCTGCACCTCGGCTGCAGCTCGGCTGCCCCTCGGCTGCACCTCGGCCGCACCTCGGCCGCACCTCGGCCGCACCTAGGCTGCACCTCTCAGTCTCCGTCACGGCTGCACACCTCGGTTGCATCACCAATACGCGCAGGCGGGCGAGGCGGGCGCGGCGTGCGCGTACGGCGTCTCCTACGCGACTGGGGAGTGGCTCGCCGGGTGTGAACAGCGTCTCTTCACACCGCCGGGCCGTGAGCAGGCACGCTACGCGACTGGGAGTGGCTCGACATCTCGATGTCCGTCGAGGTCTATGGCTTAATTAGTGATTAATTAATTAGTTAATTAGTGGCTCGACATCTCGATGTCCGTCGAGGTCTCCGAGGGCGACAAGGCGGCGCTCGCGGAGATGGTCGCCGCCGACGCCGCCTTCCTCGCCGAGCAAGGCGCGCTCGGCCCTGCTCCCCACCCCCCGGCACGAGGGTCGCCTCCTCACATATGCTTGCTGTGAACAGGCGCGCTCGACTACTCGCTGCTTAATCGATCAGCCGTGCTAGACTAGTGAACTCAACAGGCGCGCTCGACTACTCGCTGCTCGTCGGCATCCACCGCGTCGATGGCAGCGGCGGCCGGCTGGCGGCGCTGCTCGAGCAGGGCGGCGTTGCGTCGACGGACCGCCAGTGCGTCTACTTTTTCGGCATAATCGACGTGCTCGAGCGCCACTCGCTCCGCTGGAAGGTGCAGCGGCTGCTCCTCAGCCTCGGCTACCGCGCCCTCCTCCGACCCGCAGACGCCGACGGCACCTCCGCGCCGCCGCCCGCCGGCACCCCCCGGAGAGCGGCACCCCTTTCACACGCCCAACGCGTGAGAGCAGGCATCTCGGCGCTGCCGCCCGCAGAGTACGCGGACCGCTTCTGCACCTTCATCGCCTCGGAGGTGCTGCGCCGCGAGATGCAGACGCACGGCGGCGGCAACGGCGGCGGCGGTGGCAGCGATAGTGGCGGCGGTAGCGGCGACGGCGAGAGTGGCGGCGGCGAGAGCGGGAGCGGCGGAGGCGAGAGCGGGAGCGGCCGGCCGGCTGCGGGCTTCGGGCGGTGGGGCCCGCTGTGGCAGCGCAGGCGGCGCGGCCTCGTGCAGGCGCGGATCGAAGGCGAGCACGCGGACCACCTGCGGCGCATCTCCGAGCTAGAGCAGTCGCTCGTCCGAGCGAGGCACGACGCCGCCGCCGCCATCGCGCGCGCGACGGGGGCGGCCGAGCTGCCAAGGCCGCCCGAGGCGGAGCGTCCGCCCGAGGTTGCGCCGCCGTCGACGCCGCCGAGGAGGCTGGGGGCGGAAGGAGCAGGATAGGAGAGGCGATCGCGAGCACGATGCAGCCGTGTGGTATTTTGGGGGGCTTAGACGTTAGAGTCTCTGTCTCGCTCTCGCCTCGCTAGTACGGTATGTATGTACAAGCTACAACTCGTCTCGTCGCCGCTGGAGACGCACCGCCGCGCGAGTTCACGCTCACGCTTCCCACGGTTTCTCGCGCCCGAGCGGGTCTGTGGCCCAGGCTAGTGCCATTTCACTGTGGCACAGCCCGCGTTACAATATACAAATAAACCTTGATTTTGACCATTGCGCGAAAAATGTACCTCTCGGTGCCTTCCAGAGGCAGCTGCGACCCCGCCGAGTAGACGGCGTCACACAGCAGGTGGCGCGGTGTGACGCCGTCCAATCGGCTGGGTCGCAGCTGCCTCTGCGCGTCCTGGAGAGGTACTTTTGTTGCGCGCAGTTTTATGTGTTCTCTTCACACGCACTACGGCTGCTTTACACCATCAGCATCAGCCATCACGTCAGCTCTTTTCTATTATTGTAATATTGACACAGCCCGTGCACGCACAGTGGGCCTGGCCTCTGCCGTGCCACGGTCGCGCACTGCAGCACCTCCCCCTGTCCACGGGCGCAGTCCGAAACAGCGAGAGTGAGCGGAAGCTCACAGCAGCCACGCGCAGCGCCAGCGGGCACTCACAGAGGGCCGGGCAGCATGCCGGGCGGTGGCGGTCTCTCTCGCTCTCTCAAGGTGGTTCTAACTAGCTACAGGGAGGAGGCAGGATCCTCCGCATCGACCATGAGCTCGGTTGCTCAGCTCGCTCGCCTCGTGCTGCCTCTAGACAACCCAGCCACGTTGGGTCGCGCAAACGCCGCGCAAAGCTAAGGAGCCACATGCGTCCCACGCGTCGGGGCGCCGACGCGGAGTAGAGGCAACAGGCTAGCCCCGCGGGCATAGCATTGCTCATCCAGGCCCGATGGATCGCGAGTCCGGCGACACCAACGGTGATCGTGGACCAACGTGCGGTGAGTCGGGTGCGCACGAGAAGGACTCTGGCACGGTCTCAAGCGAGAGAATCTGAGAGACGTTGACGGCCTCGAGGCTCCCATCATCGTGGCGCAAGATAAGCACCAGGTCTGCCATGCCGGTGCCACTCGTGTGGATGTCAGGCAAAGACCGTCCGGGGAATCGTGGGGTACTATATTCAATCAAAAAGAGCGCCTTGAGCACTCCGCTATCGAGGTCTCGCGGGGCGGTAATTTTTCGTTTCCTTGACCCTACATAGAGGGCGTTGTGGGCCTAGCTTTTGGTATCAAAAAGAGAATTCTGTACGGTGGACGCCGGCGTCTCCCATATACGCAGAAAGGCGAGAGAAGCAGCGAGAGCAAGAGATCGGCAGACGACAGCGGCGTCTCAGAACGAGGCCGAGGAGAGCGATGAGTCAGGGGAAGAGACAGCAGGAGAGAGAACGACGAGAGTGAGAAGAATGCGAGGTGGCATGAAGGTCGCTGCAAGAATTGGTGATAAACTGCGGAGAGAGATAGGAAGTGGTAGACGCCCGAGGGTAGGCGACGGCTAACACCACACTTCTCCCCTAAAATCCCTGTGTGGTGGCGGCGTACCGTCCTCCCATCCTCCGTTGGGTGGTTTTTTTTCTTTTTCCCATATACACACATATGGGCACGCCCACCCTCGCCGACCTCGGATACGCTTACGTGCCCGTCCCGACCGGCGACCCGGACGACTTTGTCCTCCGCTCCGCCGACGGCGGCGGCTTCGAGTGGAAGGGCCAGGCCAACTACGATGCCGTCGGCGCCGCTGCGGTGGCGTGGATTCGCGAGCAGCTTGTAGCGCACTGCGGGCTGCACGCCGTGCCGTGCGCGGGCGGTGCGACGGCGTACTCCTCCTCCGGCCTCAAGGGCTCGAGCGCGCCGCTGCTGCTCCTCGTGTGCGGATCTGCGCCCGGCGGCGACGCCGGCGTGTGGGGTCGCTCGCTCTGCATCAACGACTCGACTCGCTCGGGCGCGATGTTTGGGTACGTGCGGCGCGCGCAGCGGCTCGGGTGGGGCGTGCTCATCGCCGACCCTCACGGAGGAGACGGCTGCCCGCACGCGCACCTTGCGCAGCTCTGGTGCGCTCGCTTTCCGAGCCTCCAAGCCGGCGGAAGCAATTCTCTCCCCGACGGAAGGGTTGGCGCGTCGGTAGGCGGTCGACGGTGGAGCCGGCGGCGGCGGCGCGCGTGCTGGTGGTCGCCCACTCGTACGGCGGCCCAGTCGCGGCCTCTCTCCTCAAGGCGGGCCATGACACCTCAACTGAGTCCTCCCCGAGGCCTGGCCATGCCACCCTTCCCACTAAGCTGCGCTGATGATGTCCGCGCTGAAGGCTGCAGTGTCGGTGCGGCGGCGCGCGTGTCTCCTCCAGGTGCGACGAGACTCTCTTCACAGGGGACAGCTGTGAACAGGTGCGGCGGCGAGTCTCCGCCCTCGCCCTCACCGACGGCACGGTGTGGCTGCCGACCGAGGACTGCACTATTCACAGCTGCACTTTTCACGAGCTGTGAACAGGCATGGTGTGGCTGCCGACCGAGGACTGCACTATTCACAGCTGCACTTTTCACGAGCTGTGAACAGGCATGGTGTGGCTGCCGACCGAGGACTGCACTATTCACAGCTGCACTATTCACGAGCTGTGAACAGGCATGGTGTGGCTGCCGACCGAGGACTGCACTATTCACAGCTGCACTTTTCACGAGCTGTGAACAGGCATGGTGTGGCTGCCGACCGAGGACTGCACTATTCACAGCTGCACTTTTCACGAGCTGTGAACAGGCATGGTGTGGCTGCCGACCGAGGACTGCACTATTCACAGCTGCACTTTTCACGAGCTGTGAACAGGCATGGTGTGGCTGCCGACCGAGGACTGCACTATTCACAGCTGCACTTTTCACGAGCTGTGAACAGGCATGGTGTGGCTGCCGACCGAGGACTGCACTATTCACAGCTGCACTTTTCACGAGCTGTGAACAGGCATGGTGTGGCTGCCGACCGAGGACTGCACTATTCACAGCTGCACTTTTCACGAGCTGTGAACAGGCATGGTGTGGCTGCCGACCGAGGACTGCACTATTCACAGCTGCACTTTTCACGAGCTGTGAACAGGCATGGTGTGGCTGCCGACCGAGGACTGCACTATTCACAGCTGCACTTTTCACGAGCTGTGAACAGGCATGGTGTGGCTGCCGACCGAGGACTGCACTATTCACAGCTGCACTTTTCACGAGCTGTGAACAGGCATGGTGTGGCTGCCGACCGAGGACTGCACTATTCACAGCTGCACTTTTCACGAGCTGTGAACAGGCATGGGGCTGCCGACCGAGGACTGCACTATTCACAGCTGCACTTTTCACGAGCTGTGAACAGGCATGGTGTGGCTGCCGACCGAGGACTGCACTATTCACAGCTGCACTTTTCACGAGCTGTGAACAGGCATGGTGTGGCTGCCGACCGAGGACTGCACTATTCACAGCTGCACTTTTCACGAGCTGTGAACAGGCATGGTGTGGCTGCCGACCGAGGACTGCACTATTCACAGCTGCACTTTTCACGAGCTGTGAACAGGCATGGTGTGGCTGCCGACCGAGGACTGCACTATTCACAGCTGCACTTTTCACGAGCTGTGAACAGGCATGGTGTGGCTGCCGACCGAGGACTGCACTATTCACAGCTGCACTTTTCACGAGCTGTGAACAGGCATGGTGTGGCTGCCGACCGAGGACTGCACTATTCACAGCTGCACTTTTCACGAGCTGTGAACAGGCATGGTGTGGCTGCCGACCGAGGACTGCACTATTCACAGCTGCACTTTTCACGAGCTGTGAACAGGCATGGTGTGGCTGCCGACCGAGGACTGCACTATTCACAGCTGCACTTTTCACGAGCTGTGAACAGGCATGGTGTGGCTGCCGACCGAGGACTGCACTATTCACAGCTGCACTTTTCACGAGCTGTGAACAGGCATGGTGTGGCTGCCGACCGAGGACTGCACTATTCACAGCTGCACTATTCACGAGCTGTGAACAGGCATGGTGTGGCTGCCGACCAAGGGCTGGGCAGGCGAAGAAGATCTAGCCGAGATCTAGCCGAGATGTAGTCGAGGTCTAGTCGAGATCTAGCCGAGATCTAGCCGAGGCCTTTCCGAGATCAGCCGAGATCTAGCCGAGGCTTCGTCTAGCCGAGATCCGGTCCAGAAGCCACCCCACACCCAACCTCTCGCCGCAAGACTAGTGAGCCGCGCCTCTTCACAGCGGCGAGCTGTGAACAGGCGACCACGCGGCGCTGCTGTCGGAGCGAGTCCCGACCGAGGCACGGAGGCGGAGGAGGAGGGCTGCAGCTGCCGCGAGGGCGCGTCCGTTCACAGCAGTAGCGGTACGATCAGGCGGAGGCGGAGGCGGGTCCTGCTGCGGCGATGATGCGCCCGCTGCTGTCGCGCTTCGCCGCCGCGGCGCCGCACGCGTTTGAGGAGCCCGCGGGGCGGTGGCAGGGCGCGAGATTGCCCGAGATTGCCCGAGATTTCCCGAGAGTCAGCCGAGATGCGGCCGAGACAGACTTGTGATCTCGGGGAGCGACACACCCGGGATCTGGCGGAGATACGGCCGAGATACAGTCGAGATCCGCGGCCCAGATTGTTCTGCCCGCGACGTCCCCCCCCTCCCCGGCATGTGCACAGGCGCGGCGCCGGCGGAGGTTCTCGCGGCGGTGGGGCGCAACTTTGTCGCCTCCGACGAGTCGCTCGGCGCCACGCTCCACGCGGCGCCGCACGAGCTGGTCGCACTGTCCGCCGGCACGCTGCGCCACTCCATCCCACGCCACTCCACTCCCCGCGGCGCACGAATCACGTGTGATGGAGGAGCCCGACTCAAATTAAGCTCGCTGCGCGCCCCGAGCGCACGCCGAAGCTCCAGCCAGGCTGACCATGGCGGTCAACTCGTTAGGCACGTTGCGCCACCCGGACACGACGCACGCGGCGGAGGAGGCGGTCTTCCACTTCCTAACCCGAGGCGCCGACGGCGAGGCTGCCGCCGCAAACGACGCGGTGCGCGCGGGGGAGCGGGCGTGGCCTCCGCCGCCGCCGTCGCAGCGGCTGCACGCGCTGCTGGCCGTTCTGGCCGTGTCGATCCTGCTTGCGGTCGTGGCGGTGATGCTCCGCGCGGCGTAGCCGTCTGAGAGTGCGGCCAGTCTGGCGCACGGCAAGATTGGCGTGGGAGCTGACTGCATTGGTGATAGTGTAGACCACCCCATAAATCGAGCGGTATCCCGTATCCGAGCGCGTCGGGAGGAGGACCGACACTGGTGGGAGGACTGACACTGACTCTGAGTAGCGACAGCTCTTCCAGTTCTGACTGGTACAAGTTCCACGAACCGCGCGGCTGTGGCCGTTGCCTCCTCCACTGTGCTGAGAGAGTCTATGGTGGAGTCTAGAGAGCGGAAAGTGTGTGAGGAATCTCTGCCGGCTTTTTTCTTTTCGCAATTTTTATAACGGGCTTAACGCCGTTTAACTACGCGGTCCGATGTGTCAAGAGCTCATTACTGCTGATGGAGTATAGTGGAAGTGGGTGGTATAATTACTTGCGTGTTAATGATTAATTGTTAATAGTCGGTATTCCAGAGTGCAAGGCCGTGGGGCTCCTGTCGTCAGACGTGGAGACGCGAGGGTTGCCCCCCCTTGCCCCACCACCTCGTGTGTGTGGAGAAGTTTACCTTACCTTACCTTACCTGTATTCCAGAATTCCGTTGGGGGGAGGTATTCAGTCGGGGGCATTAATAATCGTCGGGCGGGGGCGCGGCGCGGCGGCGGGCGGCGCGGAGCGGGGCGGCGAGACCATCTGTACTGAACGGGCCAGCTAGCTGGTCTTTGAGTCGGCGCAATGGTCGCGCCGCCCTCGACTCAAGGGGCTGCCTTCCACCGTGGCTGCTCAGGCCGGGGGAGGGGGGGAGACCTCCTGTGTGAGTGTGTGTGTGTGAAACTTCTGATGCCATGCATGACCTAGTAGTGTCCCCAGCTATGGGCGTGTCCACGTTGGAGCCAGGTGTGGTGTGGGCGCGAGAATAGCTCCGCCGTTAATGGAGGCAACCGATGCGAGTCGACTGGTGTGTGTCGTCGTGGTTTCGTATCAAGAATACTCACTCACTCACTCACCTCCTGTTCCTCGCGGAACGGGAGCAGGCCCCTCCTTGCCCGGTCTGCAATGCAGGGCGGTGGTCGTGCCATCTTCGCGTCGTACTCGAAACAACCACGCCGCAACCGTCGCCGGCGCGCGACACGTTCCCGTAGGCAGGACTGTCCTCGTCGAGAGTGTATGCCGCCAAGGCGGGACACACTCAGGGGCTCGGGCGTGATCATCACGTCGCAGACGGGGCACTTCCTCGGCGTGACCCTCGGCGCGGCCCTCGCCGCGGCGCCGGCCGTTGAAGGGGCCAGCTTGCGCCGCGGCACCTTGCGTTTGGGCTCTGCGGGCGGCGGCGATTCCACCCGCGTTGGCCGGGGCGCCGCCTCCTGGAACCTCGGCGATGTACGTCTCACGATCCCTAGTCCCGGCCCGGGGGCTCCGCCGCTCCCGCCAGGCGGCGATGGCGGCAGCGACGGTGGGTTCTGCGCACCTGAGGCGTGGTGGTGCCGCCGTCGCCTTAGGGCTAGGGCGGCCGCGGCGATCGCCGCCACCGCCCCGGCTGCAGCCCAGGCCCAGGCGTAGTGGGCGTGGCGCGCAGCACTGGCCGCGGCGAGGGCGGAGACCGCGAGGCAAGCGGCGACGAGCCCGGCGGCGGTGAGCGCGCTCGCGGCCCCTCTCCTCGCATTCGTTACGAGGGGGGTTCTCACGCCTGACTCTACGTCATCGACGTCCTCTCCATGTGGGGCTGGCGGCGACGGCGGTGGTGGGGGTGGCGGCGGCCCTCGCTCGGGCGCCTCTCGCCTGGGCGGCGGCGGCGGCGGCACCCACGTCCTTGGCGGCGGTGGTGGCTCCCATCCCGGGGGCGGCGGGAAGGCTGGCATCGGGGTGGCGGCAGTAGCCGGGACGGTGATGGAAGTTGCGCCGACGGCTGTACTGGGGGCGGCGGCGGCGGGAGCGTGTTTAGGAACGCGCTAGCCTCGGCCGTGGCGGGTGGCGGTGGCAGTCTTGTGGATGGCTGTGCCGGGGGCGGCGGTGGCGTGAGCGCGCTGGGGAACGCGCCGGCCTCTGCAGTGGCGGTGCGCCGCCTGCGCCGGGGCGCGTGCTGCACGCGCCCGCCGCCTTCCTCGTTCGCCCCGTCACCGTCGTCGCTGCTCTCGCCGGAGCTCAGGAACGCGTCGAGGGCGGCGAGTGGCGTGGCGTCGTGCCGTTCCTCGGGCGGCTCGGCCGTGCCCGATCTGGGGCTGTGTAGGAAGTCTGCGTCCTCGCGTCGCGCCCGCGCCTTCGCGCAATTTTGGCGCCCCGAGCTCCGACGACGCCCGCCGACCCGTTGCTGCTCGAGTCGCTTCTCGCTCCTCCATTTCTGCGATGACCCACGGCTCTGTAAAAGAAAGAAAGAAAACAGACACCCCAAGGGAGGGATGGGAGGACGGCACGCCGCCACCACACAGGGATTTTAAGGAGAGGAGTGTGGTGCTAGCCGTCGCCCACCCTCGGGCGTCTACCACTTCCTATCTCTCTCCGCAGTTTCTCACCAATTCTCGCAGCGACCTTCATGCCACCTCGCGTTCTTCCCACTCTCGTCGTTCTCTCTCCTGCTGTCTCTTCCCCTGACTCATCGCTCTCCTCGGCCTCGTTCTGAGACGCCGCTGCCGTCTGCCTTGCTCTCGCTGCTTCTCTCGCCTTTCTGCGTAACTCCGCTCTCCTCTCCGCGTATTTTGGTCCCTCGAGTTTATCGAGCATTCCTCGCGCAAGGACCACATTTCTGACTCCCACTGCGAGCATATCCCGCCCTGTCATGTCGTTGCTCAGGTCCACTCTCGTTTCGAGCACTTGTACCTCAACTGTCGGTGTTGGCACTGGGGTTCCCTTCGGGTATATCGTGACAGCCGACGGCGGATTTCCACTGGTGTTTCGTCCTCCTCGGGGTCGTCTTCCCCGGCTTCCTTGCGTTCGGCGTGGCTTACCCTCCATGCCGTGAACAGGCGCTTTATCCACTCTATATTCTTCTCTCGTTCCTCTGCCTGTGCCTTGGTCTTGTCGTTGTTTCGCACCCATGTCTGTATGGCAATCGAGGCTGCCTTCCCCACTACCTGTAGTTCACTCGTCACCTCTCCCGCGAGCTCCCCTCTCTCTCTTTCGGTTATGGTGTCCGTGAGTGCGGGCAGCGTGCAGGCAATCACGGGCGGAGCGCTCCGAATCTAGACCCCATTGCCTTTAAGGAGGCTGCCCTCGCGCGTCTCAGGAATGTAGCGGTGTCTTTTGAGTCCGGCGCCGCCCGTCATAAAAGACGCCCTCGCCGGGGGTTTTCCCCTGTCCCTGCTGGGGGCGTAATTTCTTTTGGCGCAGCGTCCGAAGGCGATCGCCGAGCATGCTCGCCTTTCTCGGCGCAAGGCCGGCGGCGGGCGAGGACGAGGCGGCCGCCGAGGCAGAGCCGCTCGGGTCCGGCCCCGAGCGTCCGCCTGGGCGCCCCCCCGAGGCGGAGCCGGGAGGCGAGCAGCTTGCGGGGCAAAATTTTTTGCAGCGCTTGCCGCTAAGCGAGCCGCGCAGCTTCACCTTTGAAGAGGCCGGGCCCCTTGGCATCACGACGGACGAGTCTTTCGATGGGAAGGTTGTCTTCGTCGATGCTGTTGAGGGCGCGGCGCTCGAGCAAGGCGTGCCTCGGATGTCCGTTATACTTGCGCTCAACGGCAGCGACGCGAGTGGGCTCGCTCGTGACGAACTCGAGCGCTTGTTGGAGGAAGTGCGGCCACAAACGCTAACAGTGCGGCCGCCGGCGGACCAGCGTGGCGAGCAGCTCGAGGGCCGAGACTTGCAGGGCGTGACGCTGCCGGCGGCGATGCTGGCGGGCGCGAACCTCAAGGGATCTGACCTGCGCGGCGCGGATCTCGTAAAGGCGGTGCTGCAGGAGGGGTATGTCCTCGCCCCGCCGGACGTGGAGGGCCTCGGGGGAGCGGCGCTCGGCAAGGCGTGGGAGGCGTGGCGGGGGAAGGAGTCTTACTTCAAGCCGGCCGAGGAGGGGGCGGAGGAGCGGCGGGCGGCCGTCCTCTCTGGCGCCAAGCTGGCCGGCACCAACCTGCGGGATGCCGACCTGCGTAAGGTGAAGCTCGACAACGTGGAGGGGTCCGAGGGCGTCGTGCTGCTGGCGGTGGAGGGGGAGAAGGGGAAGGAGCTGGGCGAGGAGTGGATGGCGTGGGGCATGGCGCTGCGGGACGAGCCGGGCGAGTCGGTGCGCGTCGTTGTGCTCAACGGGGCGCAGCTGCAGGGGGCAGATCTCCACAGGGCGCAGCTGCAGGGGGCAGATCTCAGCGACGCGCAGCTGCAGGGGGCAAATCTCGGCATGGCGCAGCTGCAGGGGGCATCTCTCTACACGGCGCAGCTGCAGGGGGCATATCTCCGCAGGGCGCAGCTGCAGGGGGCAAATCTCAGCGAGGCGCAGCTGGAGGGTGCAGATCTCGGCATGGCGCAGCTGGAGGGGGCAGATCTCCGCGAGGCGCAGCTGGAGGGGGCAGATCTCTACAAGGCGCAGCTGCAGGGGGCACATCTCCGCTTGGCGCAGCTGGAGAAGGCAGATCTCCGCGAGGCGCAGCTGGAGGGGGCAGATCTCGGCATGGCGCAGCTGGAGGGGGCATATCTCAGCGAGGCGCAGCTGCAGGGGGCATATCTCCGCGAGGCGCAGCTGGAGGGGGCAGATCTCGGCATGGCGCAGCTGCAGGGGGCAAATCTCCGCGAGGCGCAGCTGGAGGGGGCAGATCTCAGCGAGGCGCAGCTGGAGGGGGCAGATCTCACCCGGGCGCAGCTGCAGGGGGCAGCTCTCGGGGGCGCCGACCTGCGCGGCGCCGACCTGAAGAATGCCGACTTGCGCGGCGCCGACCTGAAGAATGCCGACCTGCGCGGCGCCGACCTGAAGAATGCCGACTTGCGCGGCGCAGTCCTCATCGGCGTCAACCTCGAGAAGGCCGACCTCGAGGGCGCCAAACTGCAGGGCGCGAAGTTCGAGCGCGCCGTCCTCGCTGGCGTCAAGCTCATCGGCGCCAAGTTCTCACCCTTCAAGCCGCCCGAGGCGCGCCCTCCGACGCTTGCGCGGGCGTGGCGGCTGCGGGCGGTCGGCGGGCAGGCCACGAAGGGGCTCTACGTGGCGATCGCCGGAGGCGACAGCGACGGCGGCAGCGACGACGACGACGGCGAGGAGGCGGAGGCGGAGGAGGAGGAGGAGGAGGACGAGGAGGAGGGGAAGGCCGCGGACATCGTCGGCGACGCGCTTGAGGCGGGCGTGGCGGCTCTCGCGCAGGCAGCGGTGCCGGCGATCCTGCTCGCGGAGGAGATCCTCAGCAAGCTCCGCGCTGGGCTGCACGACTGCATCGGCGTGCTGCAGTCCGCGAAGGGTGTCTGCGAGCTCAAGCTCAGCCAGCCAAAGGCAGCGACGACGTTCCTCTGCGACGCTGCCCGCGAGCTCATGCGCTTGCTCGTGTCAGAGCTGCTGCAGCCGCTGCTCGCTGTCTGCAGCGGTCCTCCCGTCCCTTGGGCCTCGCTGCGAGAGAGCGTGCTGCTGATGCTCGAGCCTCAGCCCAAGGAGTTGCTCGACAAGTTCGCGGCGTCGTTCCCGCCATCGGCTGAGGCGGAGGAGGAGGAGGAGGACAGCGACGAGAAGGAGAAGGAGGAAGAGGAGGAAGAAGAGGAGAAGGAGGCGGCGGAGGCGGAGGAGGGCACCGAGGCCGCTAGCGAGCTCTTCCGAGAGCTCCTGCGCCTGATCGCCGAGGAGGCGAAGTCTATGCTGCCGGCGCTCGAGAAGTCCGCCGTGAAGGTGGTGTCGGAGGCAGTGCAGACGCTGTCACTGCAACTCAAGGACGTCGAGCTCGGGCTCCTGAGCGACTTCGCCGCCGTCGCCGGCTGCCTCGAGAACCACCTCGAGACGGTGCTGATCGAGGAGGGGATCGCCAAGCTCGTGTCCAAGTTCCTGCTCGGCCGCTGCGGTGAGCATTTGCCAGCAGTGAGAGCCCTTCATCAACCCTTCATTTCGCACGCTTTGTTAATAGGCGCATCCCTGGAGGAGCTGAGCAAGCTCGGCTCCGAGCCGGTCAAGCTGGCAGAGCAGATGGAGATGGTGATCGCGGACAAGTTGAAGGCGTTGGGGTCCGCATCAAAGAAGGCGTTCTCATTGCTCGGCGGCAAGGGCAGCATCAAGAGCCGCGTCGTCAAGTCCGTCCTCAGCGCCGCTACAAAGTACGAGGTCAGCGCCGGCGGCTTCCAAGGGAGCTTCGACATGCTGCGGCTGGCCCTTCGCCGAAGCCCGATCCAGGCCCGCAACCCCATTCTTTGCATCCACCCGGCTCCCCCCCTAATCACACTTGGTTGCCTCCGATCCGCAGCTCAACGTCGACGACAACGAGCTGACATATCTGCTCGACAAGCTCGAGAAGCTCGAGGCGCGCATCTGCCGAGCATCTGTGTGCAGAAAGCCTGTGATATCTCGTAGCTCCCCCCCCCCTCCCCCCCCCCCAGGAGCTGGCCGTGCTGAAGGACACGTGGAAGGACGTGGCGTCCACCTGGATGTCGATCCTCGAGCTGCGGCGGCAGATCAGTGTTCAGCGCGGCATCGCCGTCATCGACTGCATCGCGAGCGACCAGAAGGCGCCCGGCGCCCCACCCGTAGTACTCTTCCTCGCGACTTGCGCTCTCCGACCCTGTGCTCTGACCGTCTCATCATGTCATTTCTTGTGTCCCAATCGAGATGCGGCTCTGTATTGCAATAGGTGCTCAACGCGCTCGGCGCCGCCAAGGCGCTCTTCGACATCGAGGGCGACGCGCCGGCCGACATCTTGGCGCGCCGCTAGAAGACACGGAGACGTCCTCGCCTCTCTTTGTGGCCGCAATAGCGACTGAGACCGGATTGCCCCACACGGCGCGACTCATAGACAGCCCTCGCGACAGCCCTCCCCCCCCCCCACCCACCCCCCACACACACCCGCAGGCGCGGCTCAGCAAGGACACCGGCGGCCACATCCGCGCCAACGGCTACCGCTACCGCAAGAAGATCAACCTCGAGCTCGCGCGGATCCGCCGCGTGCGCGACCTGCAGTGGCGCGGCGTGACGCTGGTCGGGACGGCGATCGCGGCGGCGCTCATCTCGACCTTCAACTACCTCTACTCCGTCGCCGACGGCGTGGAGCCGTGGTGGCTGCCGCCGGCCGTCGTGCTCGGCGTCCTCTGCGTCCTCTTTCCCGCCGCGGCGGTCCTCGTCTACCTCCTGCACAAGCGCAAGTCGGCGGGCTCGAGGCTGGGCGGCGGGCTCGGGCGCGGCGCCTGAGCTTCCTCCAGCACTCTAGCGCGTCTGGCTCTGGGCATTGGGCATATGTTTCTCGCGGGTCGCGGCAATCCGGATACTTTCTTTTTGTGCCGCCCAATCGTGCGCCGTACTGTTATGTATATGCACGCTGCCCCCTATGCATTCGCATCGTGATATGCATCCTTACCGATCCATAACCCTAGCGCCTATACATTTACGTATTTGCAAAAACCCTGTCAGCAGAGTCTCCTAGAGGGAGCGGACCCTGAGTTGAGGAAATCGGAGGACGCGACCCACTTCGCCACAGACGGTCCCGCGCCTCGCCACTATGACGGGTATACGACCGCGGCTCGTGTGCGTGTACCCGTCTTTGTCCGGAGTGAAAAGTCCAACGCGCTCGTCGGTGACGGTGTCCTCCAACCTGCGCCGCGCTCGGCGAACCTCGACAGCGCCTTCGGTGGCACGCATCTCTTTGCGCCTGAAGCCTGGAGAGCAGCTCCTCTGCTGCGCACACACTCTGCACAGTTGGAACAGCCTACTGTGCGGCTGCCACAGCTGTGACAGCGATGGGCTCGCCCTCACTGGCCCCGCAGTCACTTGTGCTGCGGCTTGTGTGAGCGACACTGCTCGGCGACTGCCGGCACACTGTGAGACCATGGGTGTGAGGTTAAACCACGCTACCAGCGCTTGGTCACATCGGCCCCGAGGTCAGATCCATCTACTCTGTTGATGACAAGACTTGTCTACTGGCTGGAGCCGAGCAGGAGGGCCCAGCGCACAACCCCTGGTCAACTCAGGGTCCACCCCCCGTACGGGAATGTACGTAAGAGCTACATCTCCCAGTACGTACTTTATATCTCTCTTCTCCCAGTAAGCTATAAGTACGTACACTGAAAATACGTCGCCCCTCTCCCACCCTCGCATGCTGCTGGCAAACTTGCACACGGCTCACGGGCACGCGTTACTTTGCACTGCCGAGCTGCGCAAGCGAGTGCGCGCGGGTCCACTGCTAGTCGAGAAGGCGGGCAATGGAGGCGGGTGGGGTCTTCGACATGCATCGCGCAACGCATGCCACGGTAGACGCTGCGAAGGTGGGGTCCTTGAGAGCAGACCTCGAATCCGCTCGATCTGCGGTTCTGCGCTGGTGTCCCGCTCGCTTCATCTCCAACTGAGTGGCTCGATGCAAGCCGTCGAGGGGCTACCCTTCGCCCGTAGGTGGGGGAGCTGCGAGCCGGCGTGCCGCCCCTCGCACCATGCTGTACCATCATCACCTCGCTTGGCTTCATGCTGTTGCAGATTATGTGGGGCAAGGAGGCGCGGCCGCCCCGAGACCAGTCGAGATCAGGTCCTGTACGGAGACGCGCATCACCTCCCGTTGCCCTACCGTAGGTGCTCGGGGGCGTGCTTCGCCACTTCGTCGACGGCAAGAACCACTTTGAGGGCGAGGACGTCGCCACCTACAAGGGCGGCGTGAGGCAGAGGGCGCCGGCAGAGCAGGCGGTGGAGGCGCGTGGCAGCAATGGCGGCGGCGGCAACGGGGCCGGGGGCGGCAACGGAAACGGCGGCACCAGTGCGCGCGCCCTCGTCTGACGAGACCTCGAGTGGGGTCGCATCGAACAGTCCTTCGAACAGTCACATGCTGTGGCGGCGCCGCGCCGCGAGGAAACCTTCTCTTTTATTGGTGTCTGGACACATATCCCGTGCGGACCGCGAGGCTTCCCCTTGTATCACATCGATCATCGTGCGCGCTCCACATACGGTAGGGGTAGAAGTACAAGGTGAGATAAACCTGTCCACACACACACAAACTGGCAACCGGGCGCCTTCGGGTTTTGACAAAGCCCTCTGTCCCCGACATCGGTCACACCGCCCAGCAGGCCCCAGCGCACTGGTTGGGTAGTAGTCTAAGTTCTGAGCCTCGCGGCTTAACGGGTCTAAGTGTGGCTAGCCACGCTGGAGTGCTTACGCGGTCTAAGATCAGCGGGAGCCTCTTACACCGGCTAAGTCGGCCATGGCACGCGATATACGGCGCTCGCGCCCAAATTTTCTTCGCCTGCGCGGCGGGCGATCGATCCTCCTCATGCTCAGCAATCGCCGCCTCAGCATCCTCCTCTTCCGATTCTCGTTGCTGCTTCTTGAGCGCACTTCGGCGACATCTAGCCAAATAGTTCTCACAAATAGCCTCAAGCTCAAACAAACGCATGTCAGAGAAGCCTGTGTATGCTGGTCCTCTTTGAACGATCCGCGCGTGAGGTAGCATAGGGCCTTGTTGGCAGCAGCCAGCTTGTTGCGCTGCTTCGTTGCGATGAGCTGATTGGGATCGCAGAAGTGCATGCCAAGCACCGCCACGATCTTGAAGCAGAACACATCGCAACCGCATCGTCCGCACTGCCATCGGCATGCCGCGCCCGCCGCTTCGCCGCAGCCGCCTTAAGGCACGCATAGCGGCAGCACATGGTACGGTGCGCGTACTTGAGCAGGCGTTGCGCGCCGCAAGTAGCGCACTGGCCCTGGGAGACGGCGATATGGCGTCGTGCGCGGCATACGCTGGTCGGGACCGCGTCCAGGTATTTTTCGGGTAAACCTGGACTTTTGCAGGTATACCCGGGTTTTAATACCCGGAGTTGGCCTCGTGTCGTCTAAGTTCATGGCCCCCGGCCTTCCAGCGTCTAAGTCTGAGCCCGGCTCCGTGCGGGGGCTAAGTTGAGCGCTCGCTCGCTGCAGAGGCTAAGTGTAGAGCGACCCTCTAGCCCTACTACCCAACCATTCCCAGCGCCCGCGCGCGCGCGCCGGCCGCGACACGACACTCACCCGACATCCCCGCCCGGGTCTGCGTGTGGGGGGGGGTGACTGTGGCACAGTCATATTTTCTGTGGACTGTGCGCAGTGCGGGGGCTGGGTGCGCCGAGGTGTCTGGCCGTTGGGAGCTTCACAGTTTCCTTGGCGCTTGGGGACGGCTTTGACGAGTTTCACTCATGTCCGCTAGAGTACCTAACCGGCTAATTCCAACCGATGCTAAAATGACACACACTTATATGGTGTGGTGCGATGCCGGGTGATGAGGCTTCTGGGCCGTTGTGTGCAGGGCTGAGAGGAGAACTAAAGCATTCGGAGTCGTCTGATCGATGCGGTGTGACGTGCGACTAAGAGGACACGCGATGCGACACCACGGGCGTGGCGCACCAGCGAACGCCGCCGCGCCGGTGAGGTGTGTCGGACTCGGACGCCAGTCAGCGCCGCAGGTACTCCCAGATGGCGTCAGTCAGGCCGAGGATCACGGCGGCGTCGGCGCCTGCGCCATGGACGCGCACAAACGTGAGGGTGTGTGTGAAGGCTCGACGCCTTCTGAATACAGTGAGAGCAATCGGAGCCAGCAGGCCACGTGTGTCCTCCCGAGCGCTCTGGCTTCAAGCAGCCCTCGAGAGGAGGCGCCAAAGGCCGCCACCGTGATGCGCGCCGACGGGCCAGCAAGCCACGTCGCGTCTCGAGGGCTGGCTGGAGTGCAGGGGACAGGACTCCGCATCTGGGGCGGTTGCACCGACATGCGCGCCGACGGCACCGACGAGCCCCACCCGCGACACGAGCAGCTGCAGCAGCACGCCGTACCCGACCAGGCCTGCGACGGCGGCGGCGGCGGCGGGCAGCGGCAGGAAGACGAAGACCACGTTGGCGTGGTACCTGTTCACAGCTGGCGGCGTGACGAGGCGCTGCTGGCGGCGGCAGGACACCGCCAGCTTGGGGAGGTACGACGCGTAGAAGGCCGACGTGGCGACCCAGAGGGCGGCGGTGCCTACGACACAGAATAGATAAACACAGTCGAGAGTGATCAGGCCGACGTGGCGACCCAGAGGGCGGCGGTGCCGCGCGTGCCGCGCGTCCACTTTTGGATGGCGCGCGGCGCGGCGTTGGCGGGGAGGAAGTGGGAGGCGGCGCGGTGGTCGAAGCCGTGGGCGAGGAAGATGCGCCAGAAGAGCTCCTCGAGCAGCGGGTTGACCTGAAAAGTGAGCTCACTCACACGTAATGACTCTACTTGTGGCCGGAGGAGCTGCGCTCAAGCGGCGGGTGGCTACCGCGCAGAACCACGCGCCGAAGAGAGCGACGCCCTGCTCGTCGCTGCGCGAGAAGCCGTAGATGAGCGCCTCGCGCCGCACCTGCGCACGGACGGAGGTGTGGAGATAGAAGTGTGGAGAGAGAGGTGGACAGCGGCGGCGGCGGCGGCGGCTGCGGCTGCGGCAGCGGCAGCGGCGGGTGTGCGCGCACCTGGCGAGTGGCGTGGCTCCACTCGGAGGCGAAGAAGTGCTCAAAGAGGAGGATGGCGAGGGCGGCGCCGACGAGGGTGGCGCCGCCGAGCGCCACCGCGGCGAGCAGCTGCGCTCTCAGGCTCAGCTGCTGCCCGCCGCTCCCGCCCATCGCCTGCCTTGCCGCGGCAGCGACACGCTTCCGGGTCTCGGGCCACACGGCGCAGATGGCGGCCGGGACGAGGACGAAGGCGGCCTCGAGCGCCAGCGCCGCGCCCCACGCCGACTGGAGCCGCACGAAGGTGACATAGACGACCGGCACCGGAAGGAAGCCACCGAGCACAAACGCCCAGAGCGGGGCGCCCGCGGCGCTGCTGGTGCCCTCGAGGAGAGACTCATCGTCCGCGTTGGAGGACTCCGCGCTGACCACCGACATGATCGGCTGGACTCCCCGCATACACAAAGATGGTCCCTGGTCGGTGCATGCGCCGAACTCGCGGCGCACCACGCTGCCCCCGCTCCCCCGCACCGCTCCCACGCATCACTCGCTCCCCGCCCTGCCGCCCCCCTCGCCCTCGCTGCCGCCTTCGCCCTCGCTGCCCCCCTCGCCCTCGCCGCCCGAGGCGTGGCCCGAGGTGGCTCGAGCTCGCAATCCCCCCCGATCTCCCGGCGCAGGTGCGGCACGCTCGACTACCTGCCGCCCGGGATGGTGGAGACGAACGCGAGGCGCACAACCAGACGGTGGACGTGTGGTCGCTCGGCGCGCTGCTAGCCGAGAGACTGCCTCGAGAGCGGCTGCTGAGACACCGCCTCGTCCCTCGAGACGCAGCCGAGACGCAGCCGAGGAGCAGCAGCCGAGACGCAGCAGCGAGGCAGCCGCGGGGCAGAGCAGTGCTCTGGCATCGCTCGGTCCGGTTGGCGTCGCGAGCGACCAGACCGACCAGCCCTGGTCCCGAATCCATCCGTTGCGGCGCGAATGGCGTCCGCCGCCCGCAAGTGCGCCCGCACCGCCGCCGGCGGCGGTGCGGAGGACGCGGAGCCCTCGCCGATCGCGGATGGCTTCGAGGCGCCCCTCTTTGGCGCGCGCGTCGTCGGACAGGTCTCCACGCTCACGCTCGAGGGCGAGGACGGCCCTCTATCGCTCGGGCCGGTTGGCGTGGCGAGCGATCACGCGGGCGCCTGGTACGTCGCGACCGAGGACTCGCTGCTGCACGTCTCGGCGGCCGGGCGCGTGCGCCGCGTGGCAGCCTTGCCAGCAAGTCACGTTTTCAACAGCATTGCTGCCAGCCCGGACAGGAGCGCGGCGTTTGTGGCGGACTACAGCAACCACAAGATCCGGCGGGTGGAGGTGGCGACGGGCGAGGTGACCACGCTTGCAGGAAGCGGCGACGAGGGCGACGCGGATGGCGTGGGCGACGCGGCACAGGTCTGCGGCCCAGCTGGCATCGCCATCAGCCCAGACGGCGGCGTGCTGTTTGTGGTGGACCAAGACAACCACAAGATCCGGAGGGTTGAGGTGACTACGGGCGAGGTGACGAGTATCGCGGGCAGCGGCGAGCCTGGCGACGCGGACGGCGTGGGCGACGCGGCGGAGTTCTGCGGCCCACGCGCCCTCGCCCTCAGCCCAGGCGGCGGTGCGCTGTTTGTGGTGGACCAAGGCAACCAGAAGATCCGGCGGGTGGAGGTGTCGACTGGCGAGGTGACGACGGTCGCGGGCAGCGGCACCAGGGGCAGCGCTGATGGCGTGGGCGACGCGGCGCAATTCCACGGCCCAAGTGGCATCGCCCTCAGCCCAGACGGCGGCGCGCTGTTTGTGGCGGACTGCAGCAACGTCGACAACCAACAGTCGCTCAAATCCCTGTTTTCGGTCGAGAAGTCCCATCGATCCGAAAAGTCCGAAGTTGGAACCTCGAAGCTGGGTCCGTCCGACATGCGCTCTCTCGCGCTAATCGCCCACAACCACATGAAGCCGGCGATGAGGATGTTTGTGGAGGAGCACGCCGAGACGCTCAAGCGTTTCCGCGTGACGGGCACCGCGTCGACGATGGCGATGCTGCGCACGGTCTTTGGCGAGGACGACGAGGTCGTCTACGGCGCCGTGTGCTCCTCAGGGCCGCTGGGCGGGGACGCGCAAATTGCGGCGCTAATGTGCCTCGAAGACATCGGCGCGGTTATTTTCTTCACCGACCCGCTGAGCGCTCATCCGCACCAGGCCGACGTGGACTCGCTCATCCGACTCATCAACGTGCACAACGTGCTGCACGCGACCAACCCCACCTCGGCAGAGGGGCTCATGCACCTCCTCAAGACGGCGGTGGAGCGCAACGAGCCCGAGCGCATCCCCTCATTCTTCTTCACCATCCAGTCCCCCGCCGTGCCAGAGTACCAGGCGCAGCAGGCCGCCGTCATCCAGGCGGCGTCGAAAATCCAGACGCCAGAGGGTGAGCCGTCGTGGGCGTCACACTCGGGACATTCGAGACATTCGAGCGCGGCTGTGCCCGCGCCTGGCACCCTTCGGCCATCGTCGGCCGAGAAGATGTCCATCGCCAAGCACGTCTTTGAGCAGGGGACCCTCAAGTACCTGAGCGCTTCTTCGGAGCGCTCGCTGACGAGCGTGCCCGAGGATGAGCCCGGGCGCTCGACGCCTCGGGAGAGCGGGTTCAGGATCAGGCAGAGGGGCTCACTCGACGAAGAGGTTGCCCGCGTTCGGGAGTCGCACACCCCCTCCGCAGGTAGCACGAGCACCCCGTCGCCTGACGCGGCGCCTGGCGGAGGCAAGCCGAAGAGGCGCGCCAGCAAAGTGATGCCTAAGATCGGAGCCTGCATCATTGGCTGATCCTCGTGTGCACCAGAGGAGCGCGCACGGCCTGGCGGAGAGCCTTGGCCAGGGGCAAGGGCTAGTCGTCTAGAGGGAGCCGTGCGGGCGCGGCGGGCGCGCGCTTGCAGCTCCGTGTGGCCAGGGGCAGGCAAAGGGCTTGTCAGTCTAGGAGCCGTGCGCTTGCAGTTCGGCGAGGGGCAGGCAAAGGGTCTAGTTAGTCTCGGCAGCCGTACGCTCGTGGGAGGCAATTCTTTTTTCAACACTGCTCACTGGCTACATGCAACATGCCTGGTTTCCGCCGAGATGCGCCCGGCGAGACCCCTTCCAGGAGTTGCTGGCCGCGGCGGGGTAAGACATGGATGGGTAAGACATGGATACACTTTTGCTCTCGACTCCCCACCTGCGAGCTGCGAGCTCAGCCACAGTCCTGTGCCTCCTCGAAGTCCTCCCCGACGGCGGGCATGAGCACGGGCAGTAGCACGTCCGGGAAGGCGGCCACCATCTGCAGCAGCGCGCGGCGAGGGACGCCCTCGTGTCACGACAGTTCTTCGAAGCGAATACTCACCTGGCGGAGTCGGAGGGGCGGGAGGGGGGAGTAGGGGGGGGTGCAGCGCTGTCAGATCTGGCCGGTCGTGAGCTGGCCTCATCTCCTCTGCGCCTCTCCGGCTGTGCGGACGGGTCGCGCGCCGAGGTCGAGCCGAGATCGAGCCGAGATCGAGCCGAGATCAAGCCGAGATCGAGCCGAGATCGAGCCGAGTCGCGCCGTGCAGCATCGGCCGCAGCTGCTGCATCAACTGCCATGCGACCAACCGCTCCGGCTCGACGGCCGGACGGGCGACCTAACACAGGCCGGTTGTGGAGTGGCTACGCACAGCGAGAGAGACACGGGGGGTCGACCGGAGGAGGAGGAGGAGGCGGCCTCGGCGACGGCGAGGAGGCACGTCTGCAGCTGGTGGATCACGCGCCGCTGCCAGAGGAAAACGGTCGCCTGTGCGCCGGCCGGCCGCATGCTTGTCGTCAGACTTGACGTGTCGGCTTGGCAACGTGCCGAGTTGACGTGTCCTCAGATTTGAGTAGTATGATGAATAGAATGAATCATAATGCGTCCGCCTGCACCAGCCGCCGCGCGGGCACGCGAGCCGAGCGGGAGAGGTCGCCTGAAAGCAGGGAGACGGCCCGCTCGAGGTTTCTTTTTCAGGCCTTCTGCACCGAGCGGCGGGAGAGGGCGGGGAGAGCTCGCCGAAACGGCGAGGCTCGGAGAAGAGGGCGAGGGCGGAGAGGAGCGGCAAGGCCGGCCGCGCGCCAAAGGCCGCCGCGTACTCGGCAGCAACCTGACGCGGGAGGGGGAGGTGGGCGATGGAGAGTTGACTCAGTGAAGTCGCCGCCACTCCGAGCGACTGATGAACGAGCTGATGAACGGATGAACTGGTTCAGGTGGAACGCGACTCGGCGGCGACCTCCGAGTGACTAATGAAGGTGAGGCGCCCTCCGAGTGTGACTCACTAAGGTGACACGGCGTTGGACCTCCGAGTCTGCGTGCGTCGGCACGTCGGGCCGCAGAGCGAAGAGCGACTCCTGCCGACCCATCCATCCTCAATTAATGGGTTAATTAACACTTAATTAGCGTCCGGCCGCAGGGCGGAGAGCGGCTCCTCCGTCAGCGGGAGAGCGACGCGCGCGTGGCCCCACTCGGCGAGGTGGCCTGCGGGAGATGACCCGAGATGAGCCGAGATGAGCCGAGATGAGCCGAGATTAGCCCCACTCGGCCAGGTGGCCTGCGGGAGGGACGTGGACAGGACGTGCACTGGACGGTGTCCTGGGACGTGGCGTCCCCCCCTCCCCTCCCCCCTTTGGCGAGGGGTGCCGGCGAGGAGGTAGAGAGTGTCGAGAGGGAGGCCGGTCTCGAGGTGCAGCTCCGAGAAGGAGCGAGCCGCGGACAGCTCGCGCACGAGGCGGACCTGCCGGGGGGGAGAAGGGTGCTGGGAAGGGTCCGGGAAGGGGTCCGGGAAGGGGCCGAGAAGGGTCCGGGAAGGGTGCTGGGAAGGTTCCGGGAAGGGTCCGGGAAGGGTGCTGGGAAGGGTCCGGGAAGGGTGCTGGGAAGGGTGCTGGGAAGGGGGCCGAGAAGGGTGCTGGGAAGGGTGCTGGGAAGGGGGCCGAGAAGGGTGCTGGGAAGGGGGCCGAGAAGGGTGCTGGGAAGGGGGCCGAGAAGGGTCCGGGAGGAGCCCGGATGCTCGAGGCGCGCCAGCAGCGACGAGCAATCCGGGTAATCTCGGGTAATCTCGGGTAATCTCGGGTAATCTCGGGTAATCTCGGGTAATCTCGGGTAATCTCGGGTAATCTCGGGTAATCTCGCGCCAACAGCGGCGAGCTGTCCGGCGGCAGCGAGGCGAGCGTATCCTGAGGTAGAGACGGAGGGGGCGTGGGGTGCACTAGTACCGGAGTGGTGCTGCTCAGAGGCAGCGAGGCGACAAGGCGTCCTGGCGCAAAGGAAGCAGGCCGAGGTACGGCCGAAGCGGCGGCGGCGGCGGCAGC